TAGTCGGGACCCTCCTTCCAGAGGATGTCATGGGATCCTCACACGGGATACATCGCTTGGGCTGTCTACACTGGCGCGATCTTGTACCAGAGCTATGCAAATGAGGCTAAGCATGGAATAGTGCCAAGCCTCGTTTGCATATCCAATGAGCCACCATTTTTGCAGAAGAGGCTCTTGCACAAGAAGGAGCTGTCTACACTGCCCCTCCTTGCACAAGAAACCCCTCCTATGCAACGCCGTTACGCTGATTGTTTTCAGGAATAACAGCAGTGCACAAAAGAGTTTTTCTTGCACAAGAAGGGGCAGTGTAGACAGCTCTTTCTTGCACAAAAGCCTCTTCTGCAAAAATGGTGGCTCTTATGCAAATAAGCCTCGGCCATATTCCATGATTAGCCTCATTTGCCTAGCTCCAGCACAAGATCATGTCAGTGTAGACATAGCCTGGGGGAGGAAGCTCCAGTCACTAGGAAAAGGCAGGTGTTAGTAATGGGGGATTTGATCATTAAAAACAGATAGCTGGGTTTATGGTGACTGGGAGAACCGTGTGATGACTGGCCTGCCTGGTACAAAGGTTGCAGATCTCTCGAGACATCTAGAGAGACTTATGTGTAGTGCTGGGGAGGAGCCGGTGGTTGTGATTCATGTAGGTACCAATGACATAGGGATGGGTAGAAGTTCTGGAGGCCAAATTTAGGCTACTAAGAAATAGATTGCTTCCATAAAGGTCCTGGATTTCATTCTCAGAAATGCTTCCAGTTCCACACAGGGCCAAGTAGGCAGGCAGAGCTTCAGAGTCTCAATGTGTGGATGAGACGATGGTGTAGAGAGTTGGGCTACGTCTACAATGCAGGCTTTTTGCACAAGAAGAGCTGTTCTTATGCAATAACTTGCCAGGTGTCTACACTGCTCGCATGTTCTTGCGCAAGTACATTTACAGTACAGTGTCGAAAACAGGGCTTCTTGCATAAGAGTTATTCCTCTCCCCACGAGGAATAAGCTCTCTTGCGCAAGAGCTCTTCCACAAGAAGGCAGTGTAGATAGGCAACATGATTTTTTTGTGCAAGAAACCCCAATGTCTAAAATGGCCATCAGATCTTTCTTACGCAAGAGTGTCTCCACGCTGCCATGGATGCTTTTGCGTAAAAGCACATGGCAGTGTAGACACACTCTTGTGGAAGACCTTTTGCACAAGAACTCTTGCGCAAAACAGTTCTTGCGCAAGAAGCCTGCAATGTAGACATAGCCGAGGGTTTTTTATATATATATATATAAAGGAACTGGGGAAACTTTTGGGATAAGGGGAGCCTATACAGGAAGGATGGGCTCCACCTAAACCTAAATGGAACCAGACTGCTGGCACTTAGTTTAAAAACTGCTCTATGACCTTTTTAATGTTAAGGGCTGGGGGAAAGCCAATGGGTGCAGAGGAGCACATGGATCGGACAGACATCTCTTAAGGGAGAGTCTATTAATAGAGATTCTAGATGTTCAATTAAAGAAAGGATGGAAGATAAAGTATGGGTAAGATCAGATGAGAGACAATAAAACAAAACAGTAACATCAGGAAATGGCAGACAAATTTTTAAAGTACTTATACACAAATGGTAGAAGTCTAAATAAGAAGATGGGTGAACTAGAGTGCCTCGTATTAAAGGAGAGTATTGATATGCAGGAGGCCCCCGACTTGCGACCGCCTGAGTTCTGACCCCCTACACTTAAAAAAATGGTTCTAAGTGCAGAAGGGGCCGAAACCCTCCGACTTACGTCCTCGGCCCACATTTACAACAGCGCACAGCACCTATCGTAAAGGAGGGTTCAAGTTACAATGCCCCCGACTTGCGACGCTTCACCCGCAACTAATCGCGTCGCAAGTTAGGGGCTTCCTGTAATAGGCATCACAGAAACTTGGTGGAATGAGGACAATCAATGGGTCACAGTCATACCGGGTACAAAATCTATCGGAAGGATAGAACAGGTCATGCTAGTGGGGGAGCAGCACTATACATGAAAGAAAATGTAGAATCAAATGAAGTAAAAATCTTAAATTAGCCAAAATGTTCCATAAAATTTCTATGGATCATAATTTCATGCTTGCATAATAAGAATATAGCAGTAGGGATATATTATCGACCACCTGATCGGGACAGTGATAGTGACTATGAAATGTTAAGGGAGATTAGAGAGGCTATCAAAATAAAAAACTCAATAATAGTGGCGGATTTCAACTATCCCCATACTGACTGGATACACTCACCTCAGGACGGGATGCAGAGATAAAATGTCTTGGCATCTCAAATGACTGCTTCTGGGAGCAGCTGGTTCTGGAACCCATAAGGAGAGAGGCTATTCTCGATTTAGTCCTAAGTGGAGCACAGGATCTGGTCCAAGGGGTAAATATAACTGGACTGCTTGGAAATAGTGATCCTAATGTAATAAAATGTAACATTCCTGTGGTGAGAAAAACAGCTCAGAGCTCAACACTGCGGCATTTAATATCACAAAGGGGAACTACACAAAAATGAGGTTAGTTAAACAGAAATTAAAAGGTATAGTGACAAAAGTAAAACCCCTGCAAGCGGCATGGAAACTTTTCAAAGACACCATAAGAGGCCCAACTTAAATGTATACCCCAAATTAAAACACACAGGAAGAAAACCAAAAGAGTGCCACTGTGGCTTAGCAACCAAGTAAAAGAAGCAGAGAGATAAAAAGGCCTCATTTAAAGAGTGGAAGTTAAATCCTAGTGAGGAAAATAGAAAGGAACAAACTGTCAAATTAAGTGTAAAAATATAAGAAAAGTAAAAAGAGTTTGAAGAGCAGCTAGCCAAAAACTCAAAAAAGGAATAGCAAAATGTTTAAGTACAGGCAGTCCCCGGGTTACATGGATCCGACTTACATCGGATCCCTACTTACAAACGGGGTGAGGCAACCCCGCACTAGCTGCTTCCCCCCAGCAGACCAGGGAGACGCGGAGCGGCTTTTCTCAGCAGACACCTCAGCTTGAGAATAAAGGACTGAGGGAAGTGAGGTGTGGGAGAATAAAACTGAGCTCTGGAGAAATGTTTGGCTAGAGTTTCCCCTACAATATGTACCAGTTCCGACTTACATACAAATTCAACTTAAGAACAAACCGACAGTCCCTATCTTGTACGTAACCCAGGGACTGCCTGTACATCTTCAATATACCTTCCCAGGCAATAGGAAATCAATGGAAAACGTTAACTGGATATGCTCAGTATATATAAGTAGCCCATTTCTTCTTTATCATTTCAAAGTGGAGGCTTCTGCTTCATCTCAGGATGCAAACAGACACTAATCTCTCTCTCCTTGTCACTTGAAGATTATTAAGTCCCAAGCACTTCGCGGCTGAGGATATTGGGGAGATCCCCAAACCTGAGCATTCTTTTTAGGTGACAAATCTGAGGAATTGTTCCAGATTGAGGTGTCATTAGAGGAGGTTTGGAAGCAAATTGATAAACTAAACAGTAACAAGTCACTGGGACCAGATGGCATTCACCCAAGAGTTCTAAAAACTCAAATGTGAAATTGTGGAACTATTAACAGAATGTTAGGAGTCATTAAAAAAGGGATAGAGAGTAAGACAGAGAATATCTTATTGCCTCTATATAAAACCATCGTACACCCACATCTTGAATACTGCATACGGATGTGGTCGCTGTGTCTCAAAAGAGATATATTGGCATCCCCATCTTTCACTGCTGCCCTGGGCATGCTCGCCACATTTCTAGCTGACCACCAGCTAACAGATCCTAGCCCTGGGCTCTCAAGTATCAACCTGGGGCCTGCAGCTTTGCCAATCGTTCTAGATGGTTGTGCGCACAAATTCCCCTTTGCGTGTGGGGCTGGACCCTATGGGGGGCTGGGGCCTGCCACAAATGCTTTCCAGTCTGCTGCTACAGCTGGGGAGTGCCAGGGTGAGGGGGGGATTAATTAATGCACAGGATTATGGGTGCTGGCTGCCTGCCCGGAGCGTGTTTCTGCAAACCCGGTAAATCCAGCTTTAGGGCACAGAGCTTGCTGCAATGCCAGCACATAGATGGGGGGACCAATGATCTTCAGGTAAGGACATTTCAGTCGCCCTTGACTTGTGATGGCTCAGACCCTCCCCCCCTCCCCCCCCCGGAATCCGGACTGGCTGCAACAGTGGCACAGCTGGCTGAGAATCAGACACACTCCCAAGGCCTTAGTACCCGTGTGTATTATAGCTCCCTTCTGTGCAGGCCTCCAGACTGAGCCAAATCTGTTACAAGCACCATTCAGCAAACAGTGCTCAGGCTGTGGCTGCTCCCAGTCCAATCCCCCTGGTGCTGGCCCGCTTGGCAGCCAGTACCTAGGCACCTGAATAAGCGTGAGATTTGCAGAAGTGGTCTGGCAGCTGGATTTTCCAAGTGACCCACCACCTACGCTCTTTGGAAATGGCCAGCTACGTACTCTGTTCCACCCCCGTTTAGGCAACAATCAGCGCTGTCCTCCAGCCTTTCTGTGCCTCAAACTAGGGGGCAGGGTTCCAGCTAATGAGCAAAATTCTCCTCTTAGCCTTACCTGCAGGCACATAACTTACATGCGGGAGTAGTTCCCCTGAGCTCCACATGGTCCCCGCTCATGAGTGGAGTCCCCCGGTTCCCATACAGAGCCCTTTCTTCCAGCTCAAGCCCCGGAGAGCATTTTCAAAGGGGCAGGTTGCTTAGCTTTGGACTGTACTTGACTTGTCTGTCTTACAGGCACTCAGCCTGGACTGTCAGTCACATTGTCCGGGGGGGAGGGGGGGGGGCTGTGTGCAGAATACCCTGTACAGCTGTTCCAAATGTCCTCAGCAAGACAAGGGTGCCCCCACTGAGGAAAACAGAGAGGGCCTTGCAAGAAGCAGGTTGGGCTTGTAGAGGCAGCGCTGCCAGGCAGGAAAATCCAGGTTCCCATCCCAGCTGGGTCACAAATTCCCTGCACGCCCTTGGCCAGGCTTTCAAGTGGTTATTGCCCATAACTGGGGTCAGGTTTGTGGAAGCTCCGAGATGTCCCTCCATGCATCCAACGTCCATCTCGCTAAGTGCAGTGGAGAATTCAGCCCTTCCCTTCTGTGCCCCATCGAATCCTATCCCCAGTCAGATAGGCGACTGAGGAGAGAAGTCCCAGCCCCCCTAGAGATGCTCAGACCACACCTAGAGCTACCTGTCAATAGATTTCACACCCCTTTGCAAAGTCAGCCAGGGCCATTAACCCCACTTTACAGATGGAGAAACTGAGGCAAAGAGGAGCAATGACCTAATGGTCCAGTGGCAAAACAAAGAACAAAACCCGGGTCCCTGGAGCCTCAGTTCACCATCCCACACACCGAGCCACGCTGCCTCTTACCACAGTGGTGGGGGGCCTGACAGGTACATTTAACTCATCCATCATTTCACTGTCTCACCAGTCCCTACCAGCCACTAGAGCCAGGAAACAAGGCGTGCCTGGCCCTTTAATCAGCACCATGGCAGAAGAGGGGAAAGAGCTCAGTGAGACCCACAGAAAAACGCTGCCAACCAGCATTACTGAGCCTGGAAGCTGTTTGGGGCAGGGGCTGTGTCTGAGCTCAATGCTGTACACACAGAACAAGGCGGCCTGGGCTGCACAGGGGCACGTTGGCCTATTGCACTATGCACAGGAAACACCACACGCACCCCAGAGAGAAACCAGATTTTTATTTCTTTTCCAAGGCAGGATCAGGCAGCCCGGCGGCTGTACATGAATGTCTTTGGGAAGCTCATTGTTAATTCTAGCAGCCAGGAAAGCCTGACACGAAGGTTTCCCAATAGATGACTCCACAGGACTCCTCCCCCAAACCCCAACGCCCCAGCACTGCGCAGCAATCCCAGCACTTCCCTCTGGCTGTGGGGCTGTTGAGTAGGGACGTGGGAGGGGGGAAGCAAGTCAAGGCCCGACCCTGTATGATGCAGACAAACCACCCCCATGGGGGAAGTCCCAGGCAGGAAGCGCCTTGCAGGATCTGGCCCTTGGATGGGATACGTTACTCACCACTCTCCAATCCCACAACCTTGCAGGATCGAGCGTCAGAACCCCCCTGCCCCCAGGTTCTATTCCCAGCTCGCAGCACGGGTCTTGACCAAGGTGCTGTGTTTCCCCACATGCAAGGCGGGGCAATTCCTGCCTCGTCAGAGACAGCTCCCGGAACCAGAGCTGCTGAACTGGCTGCCGAAACCAGAGACTGCTCTGTCCTGTGGAAGGGGGAATTCCCTCCCCGCTTTAGCACGATCCAGTTCCACCCATGCGATGCCCCAAGGCCAGCAGGCGGCAGGAGAGGCAACACCAGGGCTGCAGTGAAAGGCCAGGGAGGCGAGCAGGTGCATGGACATCGCAGGAGGGAGGGAGGGGCCCAGCCCAGCTCTGTCGCTTCTGCAAAGGAACAAGGGGAAATCATTTTCCTCACGCCCAGACGCACGGGAAAGGACTGAGTGGGAGCCCCAGGGGGTTAGCGCAGCAGCCGTGTCTCCAAGCAGGGCAGCTCTGGATTCACCGCCCCCCAGCGCTGGGAATGGGTCCAGTCCGCGTGGACCCAGGAGAGCTCAAAAGCAGAGCAAAGCGAACGGCTGCTTCTCATGCACCAGGCGTGCGTCCCTCCCCGGGCTCACTTCTCCTGCGGCTCAAAGGGGCCATCCGACTCATTCCAGTTCTTCTCCTGGCTCTTCTTCCGGTTCCTCTCCGCCATGACGATGGCGGCAATGACGGTCACCAGGACGGTGACTGTGATCACCAGGACGGTGGCCGTCTCGGCCACGCACAGCTGGGTGTCCACCGAAAGCAGAGGCAAGCCGGCCAGCTGCCCGGGGCTGGCACAGGTCAGGTTGGCGTAGTCTTCCACATGGAGGTGGCGGACACTCAAGATCTTGCTGAACACCCGTTGGAGGTCACAGTCGCAGGCCCAGGGGTTGCCGGCCAGCTGGAGCTGGGTGCTGGCTGTTTGGATGTTCAGGAAGGTCTTGAACTTTAGGTGGATGAGTTGGTTGCCAGTCAAAGCCAGGAGGTTCACGTTGTGCAGGGAGGCAAAGGCCCCCACCTCAATGGTGCTGATGTTGTTGGTGCCAAGGAAAAGCACTTCCAGACTCTGGAGCATGGAGAAGCCGCCGTTGTAGATGACCCCTAGCCGGTTGGACTGGAGGTAGAGGTGGCGGAGCCTGGACAGGCCCCGAAAGGTCCCCTTCTCGATGGAAGCCACTTGGTTGTAGCTGAGGTCTAGCTTCTCCAGGCTCTCCAGGTGCTGCAGGCTCCCAAAGGCCAAGGCCGATAGCCGGTTGTGGGCCGCCTTGAGCTCCTTCAGGGAGGTCAGCTCGTCGGAGAAGTCGGGGGGCAGCTGGGCCAGGAGGTTGTGGCTGAGGTCCATCTTCTCCAGGAAGCCCAGGGACTTGAAGGCCTTGGGCCGGAGCCGGCCAATGCCATTGTGGGACAGGAGCAGGATCTTCATGGACCACAGGGCATCAAAGGAGCCGGTCTCCAGGCTGCTCAGGTTGTTGCGCCTCAGATCCAGGATCCATGTGCTGTGCGGGATGCCACGGGGCACGTGAGCCAGGTGGTGGCCACGGCAGTCTACAAAGTCAGAGGATTCGTAGCAGACGCACAGGTGGGGACAGGCCCTGGTGGCTCCTGCCCCCGGCACCCACAGCAGGAGAGCCAGGAAGGGCAGCATGCCGGAGGCGGGCTGCCGAGGACACAGACCCACAGAGCAGAGTCCCAGTGTCAACAGGAGGAGAGGGCAGCAGCCCCGTCAGGATCGCTTTCCGCCCCACGTGCAGTCCCAGGGGGTCAGGTTCCCGTGGAGGAGGCTGTAACAAAGAGTCCTTTGTTGAGCGATGAACCCAGAGCTTTCTTGGCCTCGCTCCTCCCAGGACAAAGCAGGGACAGAACCTGAACAGCTCGGCTGGGTCCTGGGGGTGCAATCGGAGCAGCTGGCCACGCCCGCCTTCGCCTCCCCTCCTGGGCTCTTCTTTCCACCTGCCCTCCAGCCCCTCGCGCTTGCAGCAGCCGGGCCTTGCGCAGGATCTGCTGGGCAGAGCGAGAGCAGCCGTCAAGGGGTTACCAGCAGCGACACGTGCTCCTGTCTCAGGACGGACGCAGGAGCAGGGGAGATTTTGGTGGCTGTTGGGAGGGGCAGGCAGGGGCCAGTCAGCTTGAAGACAGGCTGTGCTCTGGGTGAGGCAGAGCCTGCTGTAAGCCAGACTCTTCTGTAGGGAGCCCCAGCTTGAAATATTGGGAGCCACGTACCCCATGGAGCATGCTCCCCTTCCCCCCTCATGCCGCCCATGCTAGGGCTTGCAACAGGGGCAGTTAAGGGCTAGTTCATTTTTTTTAAATTGTATCCTTTGGTATATATGGTTGTGACTGTTTTCTTCCACTATTTGATCTGAGGAAGTGGGTCTGGCCCACGAAAGCTCATCATCTAATAAACCATCTTCTTAGTCTTTAAAGTGCTACATTGTCCTGCATTTTGCTTCAGCTACCCCAGACTAACACGGCTACATTTCTATCATAATTTGATGGTGAAATTCCTGGCCCATGGAACAAAAATTTATCCAGCTAATTAATTGTTTTGCTCTAAGTCCATTTGCCATTCATAATACTGTATAGGTGTATCTACTCTGCACCATAACTTGAAATAAGATACATAATTTCAGCTACACAAATTGCGTATCTTATTTCAATGCTATTTTAAAAAAAGATTATTTCGTCATCTGGCACTGTCTACATAGTGCCAAATTTTTAAAGAAAGCACAATTCTGAAATGACCCTTACTTCTCGTAGAATGAGGTTTACAGGGATATCAGAATAGCATGTCCAAAATAATGTGTTTGCTGTGAAGATGGGGCATAGCTATTTCAGGATACTCCAGTATCCCAAATCTTCTCTTCCCTCTGCTCACACCTGTCAGCCAAAATCCTGAACCCAGATGTAGCAAATGACACATTGGACGAAAAAACCCCGCACCACTTACACTTTCCAAAGCAAAAGTTTTCCACGGCCAGCCCGATTGTGACAGCTGGTCATGCAGAAGGGACCTAGTTACAAGCACTAAATTGGGGAATAAAAAAAATGTCAGTCTCGGGGTTTTTTGAAATACATTGATGTTTGTTACAGATTTATTTGCAAAACCTTTGTGTAAGGGCAAGTCAGCTGTCCCGCGCAACGCAACATTCAATAGAGTCATACATGGAGGTCTGCTTTCTACATTTTCTTCATGAGTATTTCTAATGTTATTTTAAATGTACTCTCAAGCTTTCATAAAGCCATCATTGCAGATTAGTAATGTTTAAACACACTGAAACAAAGATATTTTAAATTAATCAGTCACCGCAGTTCAGTGCGTTCATAACAAAGTTATTGCTTTCAGAAAAAGGAAACCTTTATTGTGTGATCTTCATAACAGACACATTTATGAAATGTCACCATAAGTTTGTTAAAAATGTGTTTCCAAAGATTTTATGCGCAACAAAGGATTCTCTAGTATTGTTGAAAGGTACTGATTTTGGTGAAGAGTTCTCTTAAAACCAGTTCATCAAATAGAAGTAAAGAAAGGGAAACTCATTTGTCCAGCTACCTGGAAGAAAAGGATTGTTTATCCCTTTAAGGGCTCTCCAATAGGGGGTGAAAGGAGACTAGGGATAGGAAGACTTTGGAAGTAAGTTTTTGTGCTATAATAATGACAATTAAAATGTAGACTGTAGAAAAGGGTGGTCTCGATTAATTTATTTAGAAAACTCCATGTCTGAAGAGTCAAGCATTTAAGGCTGTGGGTTGTCCAACCAGTTCTGAAGCAGTAGCCTCTCTAGTGCCTATCGCTATAGCAAACTAGCCACACTCAACCAGCCAAACAGCCACGTGTGGCTAGTGTGTTGGGCACCACAGATTTAAGGCTAAAGCTGAATGCTCAGATTGTGCATCTAAAATCTAGGCAAGGATTTTTTAAGAGATGTAACCTCATCTTCAGCAACACTGGCGAAAGGTGTCCCTGGCCTCTGTGTGTCAGAGGGTGGAGATGGCCAGCAGGAGGGAGATCGCTTGATCATTGCCTGTTCGGTTCCCTCCCTCTGGGGCACCTGGCATTGACCACTGTCGGCTCAGGGCACTGGGCTGGATGGACCTTTGGTCTGGCCATTCTTATGTTCTTTAATTAAATGTTGAAAGACACTTTTAAACTAAGGTCCTGTAGACCCAGGAACTTGTTTGGAAAGCTCACACCTCCAGGCTGGCACAGACCTGTGAAATGGGTTCATTGCCTCCTAACGGCTCTTTTCACAGCCTGCTGGAGCACTAAGACCCAGGGAAGCCATTGCCTCTTATACCCCTAAACCCATGCTCAGCAGAGCTGGGTTAACCCTGAGGGGCCTGGGGCTATTAGATTTTGTGGGGTTCCCTAGAGTCAGGGGCAGGGTAGGGAAGTCACCTGGTAGGGAGACACTCAAGGGAGAGTCCTTGCTCCCGAGTGGTGAACAGACCCGGGATTTTCCACATGCCAGGCTGGAGTGCAACCCTGTCACTTGGCTAAAAGCAATAAGGCAACAGCCCGATTCAGGTTCTGTCATTTTGACAGCTACCAACATTTATGTGTAAGCATCCCCTGCCCCCAAGTTCCAGCTCTTTGCTTTTCACAGCTGCACAAAGTGGGAAGCATTTTCTCTATTTTTACCCACATTTTCACAGTTGCCAGGAATAATGGGGGGCGGGGTGCCAGTCGTTATGAAATGCCAACTGACCGCAAGATTCCAGTCCAAGCTTTGTAGCCATCCACACAGCCTGGCAGCGTCGCATGGCAAGAGACCCAGGGACCAAATCCTAAGAAAGTCCCAAGCAACGTTGGTTTTTAATTATGGCTCTTTGTGCGTTTTCATTCTTAGCAACAGAAATAGCTTTGGCCGGCTTGGGCACACCCAGCACCTACTGTGGAAAGTCTCATTGGGGCAGGAGCAAAACCCTTTTTCTGACTCTGATTGGCTGAATTTTTTTAAAATAATTGTTCTCTGCCCAACCCCTCCAGTATTTCAGCATTGCTAGTAACTGACTCATCCCTTATTATTCACCAGGCTCTGCTCATAACCAATGTTCCCTCTAATCTTTCCTATCAGTGTGCAGAATAAATGTTCTGTGCACAAAGACATGCATGCATGCGCACCACCAGTAGAAACAAAATTCAGCTGTGGCCATTCTGCTAATCAGCCACGCAGCTGCACAGGTCCCAACGTATGGGGAATGCTGCTAACCCACATGTGCAAGGTCTAGAGCAGCCTCTAGTCCAGCTCAGCCTCTCTCACGAGCCCACACCTCCCGATTGCTCAGGAAAGGCCCCCCCCCCCCGCGATCCTGACCCATGGATCCCTGCTCCATGGCATCCACCTGCTAAGCACGAACCACAGATGACGGAAGGAGGGACCCCCAATTTAGCAATAGGGTTAAGCCTGTTCCCAGAGCACCAAGCTACACAGCTGTAATCCAGCTGAACCCCCAGAGTGCCCTTTGCGGGGTGGGGGGTCACTGCCAGGCAGCTCCTTCAGGAGGGGAAGCAAGAGACGTCTGTCCGTCCAGGCGGCCCCAAGAGGGAAGGGCTGGGAGGACAGACAGCTCCGCCATTCCTGACCCTTCCCAGGCAGGCTGCGCAATTCCCAGCTGGCAAGGGCACCCAGAGGGACCGGGCGAGGGGATGGCCGAGCGAGAGCAGCCGGTTGACTCGAAAGGCAACGAACACCAGAGACGCTCTCCCCCTTCCACCCTGATGGCTGGGGACCTGGACGTACCTCCTGTGTCAGGCCCGACTCGACCGCAGCCTGGGGCCTGCTCCGGCTCCCCGCATCCCGGTCCGGTGGCAGGCGGAGCCCTGGCTGACAGCTGCCGGGGCTGGCAAGGGAGGATTGCCTTCCCAGGAGCAAGCAGAATCTAATCTGGCCTCAGGATTACTGACGCTGCCTGGCCCAGTGCCACCCCTCCCGCATCCTCACCCCGCCTGCTGCCCTGCAGGGGCCGCCAGGCCAGGAGAGCCCCCGATCTCAGAAGCCAGGCAGGTGGGGGTGGGCACCACTGGCCGATGCCCAGAGGAGGGGGAGGGATTCATCCTCCCACTCCCCTCCATCCCCTACAGGTGCGGGGTTCACTGGGCCCTCCCCAAGCGTCTCCTCTACTCCCTCCCCAAGAGGGGCCCTATCTCCATCGCACAGAGCCCCCAGCCTCTGCCTCCCCCACACCTGGGGTAATGTAGCTAGCCTGCAGGATTGGAGATAGCACCACTGAGTCCCCTGCCTGGCTTCCCAGCACCGCTCCCCGCCCCCGCTCTTAACAAGCAAGGGGCCTGCCAGTTGCCTGGGTTTTCTATTTACATCCCACCTCCCTCAAACCCCCACTTTGTGCTGCCACTTGGATCCAGGATCCTTCTCTGCCCCTTGTACGTTGAGTGCTGGGCTCCACCCCAGAGCTGGCTGCCTTTCGGCAACAAGCAGAGCCATCCAGGTCTGCACAAAGCACAGGCTGCTCCTTCGCAGGGTCCTGGGACTCCTTCCCTAGCTTCATATAGAGCCCTCTGCTGCAGTGAGATTTCAGCTCCCTCTCCAGCCACGAGCCCCAGCAAGGCCCCGGGGTGTAGAATTCACAGGCCTGGCAGGACGGAGTCTCCTGTTTCACTTCCCCAACACCCAAAGCCCTGAGCCAGCCATGCAAAATTCATCACCCCAGCATCTCATCCATAATTCACCAGCCTTCCCCACCCCAGCAACTTATGTCCAACCCAGCACGCCCAGCCTGGATATCTGACACGCGGGGCTGGGGGCAGGGTGCTCCACTTCCTGCACACCAGGGTATGATGGACACAGGTACACAGCTCCCTTGGACAGCTGCAGCTAATCTCCCCCACCCCTCCACTCCCCCTGGAGAGGGGCTAGGACTACACTGCCCCCTACGGCACACCCTGCTGGGAACGGCTGGGAGATCGCACGCCCAGCCTGGATATCTGACACGCGGGGCTGGGGGCAGGGTGCTCCACTTCCTGCACACCAGGGTATGATGGACACAGGTACACAGCTCCCTTGGACAGCTGCAGCTAATCTCCCCCACCCCTCCACTCCCCCTGGAGAGGGGCTAGGACTACACTGCCCCCTACGGCACACCCTGCTGGGAACGGCTGGGAGATCCCAGATTGTAACAGCAAAACGAGGCCCAAACCCAAGCGCTGATCCCAACCATCCCAGCAGGGGCGCTCTCAGGTCGCGCATCATGCAGACAGCTTTGTGCCCGGTCATCTCAGGGCAGGACCTCCCCAAACGGGAGGTCGCCCCAGCTACATCACTGAGGGGCAGGGGTGAAGAACCCACCCGTGAGCCCTGCGGTTAACTACTGAGGGGACAAGCGTCCATGCCACAGCGCTGCTGTCAGAGCGGGGACAAGACAGGCCTTCCGCCTGGACACACGGGGAATGAACATACCGGCTCCAAGGAGAACGGGCCCCTCAGGACAGCCCACGTGTTTCTCGCTAAGTGCTGGCTCCATGGCCACGGGGCCGGGCTCACCAAATGCTGCAGCTGCTGCACCACCCTGGACAGCTGGGCTGTGGGGGAAGAACACCAGAGTCAAAGGGCCAGTAAGGCCCAGAGTCCAGGGCTGGCCTAAAAAGTGCAAGGCAGGTGGAAAGGTACAAAAGCCTCAGGCATGGGCAGGCCAGAGTGGGGGGACACTCCAGGACAGCCTGGGCCACAAAGCAAAGGGAGCATCTAGGCCCAAATATATGGGAATGAGCAGCATGGAATGGCTCACTTGATTCCCTGCTCTGTCCATTCCAATGGGGCACCTGCCACAGACAAGACACTGGGCTGGACAGGCCTTTGCTCTGACCCAGCCTGGTTCCTGGCAGATCTCACAGTTTGCTGAGTCAAACCTGTGGTGCATCCTGCTTAGACACTTCCTGCCAAGCGGAACAATTCAGAGAGCCAGAGGCAGCAAGAAGCCACCTTCAGCACAACCTAGTATAGCCAGGGATGGGTGGGGGAGGTGCAGGCTTGGGTGGGGGCAGGGGTGGAGAGGTTCCACTGTGCTTCTGGACACACTAGCCACCCTGCAAGCATGCACCTGCCCGCCTGTCTGTCCCTGTCCATGGCTGCATTGAAGGCTGACAAGCTTAGGGTGGGCTCTTAAGTCACTGCTGTCTGTGCGCTTGGAGACCTTGGCACAACATGGCAAGGGAGAGTAGCTCTGAACAGCCCCTTTCCAAGCCCGGCCAAACCGCATGCACTGCAGGAATGGCAAGACCAGGGGGTCCATCAAGTCCAAGGAAGGGGCAAGGAACCCCAGCCATGGAA